CACGGCTAGACTCGTGCCCCGAAAGGGGGGAAACAGAGATTGAATGGCGCCCCACCCCCCCTTTATGGCCATCCATTATGTTATTACATTTACGGACAATAACCAAATTACAGGTCTCTCTGGCCCCAAGGTGACTTCCGCTCTATTGATTACATTTGCATTTTGATTAGCAAATGAATCGACCCACCGATGAGGGGAGGGGTGGCGAGGGGAGGGGAGAGGGTAATGCCAGCGTTTGGATTTGCTTTAATCACTTTTATGACTTGTCAAACATGAATCGCCCGACGGCGTTGTGTACACAGACCAAAAAAAAAAGTCTGGCCCGTGGCAGGTGGGGCAGGGGGGGGTGGCCTGAGGGGGGGGGGGGGGGTATATTTTGTTGGCTTTGCGGTTTTCTGTTTACAAACTGCGAAACAGTGCACCCTTCCGGCTGCTTGAATCTGAGTAGGAATACATTTCGGGGTCTTGCGGTTACGCGTGCCTCCCCCCCCCCCCCCCCCCCTCTCCCTTCCTGTCGCCCACCACAAGATCCTGCTCCGATAACGGCGGGAGCTGTGCACCTGCCTAATATACGATTCGGGAGCAAAGTTCAAAGCGGATGCCACCCGATAGCCGATAGCCGATAACCGATAACAGATAGCGCCTCCCTCAGTCATGGAATCTTTTTTTGCAGGAATTCGCATTCCGATTTATTTATGATTTGTTTTGATTTCATGGCATTCGAGGGGCCGCCAATCTTTATTGGCGGCTTCGCACCGTTGCGCTTCGGTGGCCATAAATCTGTGCATTCGAGGCGACAGCGGAGCTCCTCTGCGCGTCATTTTGTGTGGCTTCTATGTGGGTGATAAGCGGAGGAGGAATAGTGCTTGGTCATCTGAATGGTCGAAAAAGACGAGGGGGAGGGGGGAAAGCCTGGGAAGGAACCTCCAACCTGCCCTTTCCCCGTCATTGGAGGCTCGCACCGCCCGGGGGGTGGGGGCCAACCGCTTTAATCGCAATCAGTCATTGTTATTGATTGCCCACACCCTCTCACCCGGCACCACCCGCTGAGTGGTTGATTGACGGCAAATGCCCGGCGCTTAGGAGTTGGAGCCTCGTTCCGGCGATTAGGGAGCCACTGCCACAAAGTTCAAGTGGGCTCCAAACTGGTGGGGGTGGGGGCGGGAGGCTGTCAACGCAGCAATCAATACGCAAGACGCAACAAAATGCCAGCGAAAAAAAAATGAAATTGTTAAGTTTATTAAGCAGCAAAAGGCCAAAACGGTAAACGGTAAGCGTTTTGCAGTTGGGGGCCTTGGGGGCCTGGGGCTCCGCCTCGCCTCTAGCCATTAGCCATTAGCCAGACAATAAGCTTGTTTTCTTGCAGTTGGCGGCTGTGGCTGTTGGCCAAAAGACCACCCACGCTGCTGGCCAATTAGTTTGATGAGGCGCAACGGCCAAGAAAATTAATTACTTTTTTGCGGTACTCCTCGCCAAATGAAGATTGATGCGCGGTGCAGATGCGGTTTTGACCCTTGAAGGCCCCAAAAAGCCACCTCGAAGATGCGGAACGAAAGTGCTATCCACGGTACAGTTTTTGGATCACTTGACAACGCGATTCCGCCACAGACTAGAAATATATATCATGATGTGCGCGATTTTGGCTGGAAATCTAATCGCTGGGCAATCTTTTGGGTGGCGCATTCCCTGGCGACGTCACGGCGATAAGGGCCTCCTCAACGTTCATCGTTAGATGTGTTTATGGCCCGAAAAGAGGATCGAAATTGGCTACCGCGACAGTTGGCAACAGCAGTCGCTAGAGGGTATTGGTAGAAGTGGAAGAATTAGGCCCTCTGATGAAATTGTGGTCGATTGAACCTTGGACTGAATGTTAGATATGGAATTAATCCCCAGAAATCGCATTCACTTCACTGTCCATCGTTCCCACGTATTAATCATAATTGAACACGACTTTAAGGGTCTTAACTACGAGCTGTGGAGCTGGTTATCCGATCCCTCGTCAGAGACCAGGCGTAGCGCCAAGTGCCTGTCAATCGGCCTGGACAATGGCCCGTAATCGGGTGGGGATTACAAGGACCAGGCAACAAAGGCGGCGAGCCATTGTCTGTGCGAACAATGGCACAGGCAGGAGGCAGAAAGCATCGACTGTCAGTCCTGCTTCCTGTTGTGTGCCATTCAGGGAGATTGTCAATCAATGTTCAATCAAATGAGTTGCATTTTCGGCAACTTCCGCCGAGGACGCCACCCACATGACACACTTCTGCACTCGGGACACTCCCCTCTGCTGCTGCTGCTTCTGGTGCTGCCCCATTAACCAACGGATGCCACATGCGTCCCTTGCTTTGTTGTGACCCTAATCGCCTCACAATTTCGATACACTTTGAGGGGTGGCTACCGCTTTATTGCCCTGCCATTCGCTTAATTGAGGCGGCCAGCAGTTCGCACAGGAAGCAGATCCCGGCGAGGGCGTGGCCGCCGGCCAGGACCATGGCCGCCATCGCAATGTCCTCGAGGCGCAGCGGCTCGATGCCGGCCTCCTGGGTGGGGAGGAACCTCAGGAAGCCGGCGCGCACCGCCAGCTCGTGGACCTCCCGCACGAGCTTCGCCTGCAGCCCCGTCTCGAAGAGCCGCTGCAGGTGCTCGTTGTACACGCGCTCCAGGGGCCAGTTCTGGCGGATCACCTGCACGGCCCAGGTGTAGCCGACCGGCTCGAAGAGCTTCTTCATGCGCGGCCTGCGCAGGAACCTCTGCTGGTAGAGGTAGAAGTCCATGCGGTCCTCGGAGTCCACGTAGGCGAAGCGGGGGTCCAGGCCGTCGCGGCGTTGCTTGTGCAGGGACTCCTCCGCGAGGAGGAAGCGCTCGCGCAGCGCCTCGGAGCTGCCGTAGACGGAGTTGGGCCGGAGGTTGTGCTGCTGCAGCAGGATGCTGACGTTGGCGGCCTTCAGGTCCGCCACGGAGTCGATGGGCCGCTGGTAGAGCTTCGTGGTGAGCATCGTCGACAGCTGGGCCACGTACAGGCTGGACAGGACGAAGCCCGTGGCGAAGAGCAGCAGCAGCAGCAGCAGCCGGACGCCTCCCGAGCCTCCCTGCGGCAGTGCCAGGCTGAGGGTCAGCAAACTCTGGACGGCCAGCAGGAGGTACTGGCCCACATCCCAGCGGCCGAAGCGCCACCGATGCAGCAGGGCCCCCAGCAGCGCCACGTAGGCCACACTGAGGCCCGTCCAGAGCCAGACGGGGGGGTCGAAGGGTCGAAAGAAGTAGCGGAACTTCTCGATGGGATTGCCGAAGGGCGCCATGATGGCCACGCGGTTCAGACGCACCGGCTGGCTGGTGGGGTAGCGCAAGGTCATCACGAAGATGCTGCCGCAGGCGTCCGCCTCGTCGGACGCCACCAGCTCGAGGCACTCCCGCGTGGAGTAGCGCCGCAGCTCGGGAAAGGGCACCGCCTCGAAGGTGGCATTCAAGTGCGCGGCAAACAGCTTGAAGCTGTTGATCACGCTCCCCTGGTAGCGGCCCCCAGAGGCCACCGACTGCTCCTCGCTGACAAACGAATGCGGTGGATCGTTGGTGACGAGGACTCGCACAGGATAGCCCTTCAGGTCTTTGCTGCTTCGCTCGGTGAGATATTCCCGCAGGGTTGTGCGGCTGATTGTCACCCGGGGAAAGGGTTTCATTGTCCAGAGTCGATGCTCACGGGAGCACAGCAGAACCTGGGCGAATCCCGCGTCCCAATAGGCCTTGAAAAGGTCCCGATAGATGGTTTCGCTCTGCGGATGGCGGTCCACATCCATGAGCAGGATGTCATTGAACTGCCGATCCTGGAGATACACTTGCAGCACCCTCAAGGCTTCCAGATTGGCAGCCAGATGGGTTTCCAGTGGGGTTACGACGAGCACTGGCGCATCGTGGCGGGTCTTCAGCTGCTCGCTGGTGTTTCCCTGGAGCACTATCCTCGGTGGATGGCCCCGAAGGGGTAATCTCTCCAGCCTCCCCCCCGAGAGGCCATAGTAGATGTGTGTTTTGATGCCCAGCTCGAGGGTGAGCTGGCGGATAAAGGGGCCGCCTGGCTGGGCCGCAGCGACTCCTAGGAGGAGAGTCCACAGAGAAACTTTGAGCAGCGACATGCTGAACGGCTAGAGGACGAGTGAAAGGACAATGGGCTGTCACTAATTCGATTAGGTGTACTAATTAGTGGGTCAAACTAATTAGAGGATGTGCGGGACCTGCAATTACCCTTACCCTGCAAGATACCCTTGGATACCCTGTATACATACATAGGATGGGCTTGCCTTTAAAATTCAAATTCCAGCCGCTGCATCGAGCCTCTGTTAACCCGCCTGCTAACAGCAGTCATACAACAGCGACCGACAACAGGTTCGTGCGGCCACAGCTGGTTGGCTCTGTTGGCTCTGTTAGCTCTGTTAGCTCTGTTGGCTCTGCTGTTGTTGAGGCACCTTTTCTCGCATGCTATAAAAATCGCACTGCAGAGCTGCAGGCGGCGGCCAGCAATGGCCGCTACACACACACACACACTCGCACACTCGCACACACGAAAAGTGAGAGACGAAACTTTTGAAACTGTTGTTGCTGGCTGCTAATGTTGCCTCCGCTGTTGCTGCCGCTGCCACCGCTGCTGCTGCTGCTGCTGTTGGCCGTGTGGTAAGGAAGAAAAACACAAAACCAAATATGTCGCACGTTTCGCTTCGGTTTAGTCTCGATAATTCAATCGACGTTCAACGTTGTGTCTGCCCTGTGTGCCCCGCGATAGTGCCGTTACGCGATTACGAATACTCCAGCGAATACCCTCAACGCTCCATGCCCAAATACGTGCCGCAGGGTGCAAAAAAAAAATAAAATACAAATATATACAAAAATTTATTGTCGCAGCGGAAGCGGAAGTACATCGCGTGTGTGTGTGTGTGTGTTCTCTGTGTGTGTGTTTGTGTGCCTCTGCAATGGATTTCATTTTCATTTGCCGCTGCATTCGCCAGTGAAACCGAAACGCGAACAATACTCGCGGTCAGTGGAAATGTGCTCGGGCTAGAGCCGTGTGCCACCGCCTCGTATCGGTCAAGTGAAGCGCGATTACACGGGGATTACCGACGCCCAATGTCATCCCAATCAATTGATCGCCAAGCAGCCACTCACCTATTGAGGCATTAGTTTACTGCTCCCGTCTGGCAGTAAATGGGTTAAAATTATGTACATTAATCGCCGAATGAATGTCGAATCAGTTAGAGAGACTGCTGTTTTTTATTGTGAGTCCAGAGGGCGAGTCCCTTGCCTTTACAGCCCATAAAATAAGGCCCTCAAGGCCCACAGCCTCAATTAGCCAGCCAGGTTGCAAGGCCCTTTTTGGGGAGCCGAGTAGCTCTGCCGAATCTTATCAAGGCGCACACTCTACAAAGTAATGCTATCGCCCACTTCTTCGTCTTGAATTTATGCTCCGTGTAACCTCGTTTCGAGTGCGCGGATCGCGGGGGCGCGGGGCACGGGGCAAAACGCATTATTTTGTAATTATCGACAGAGTTCTAATAAATAAAGCGTCGCCACGCAGGGCCCCCTCACAGAAAGGGTTTCGTTTTCTGTTTCTTTTTGTGGGCTGATGAAATTATGAATGAAGATAAGGTGTGGCACCTATCTGTGGATAGCACACAGATGGATTTTCCCCCGTGAAACTTGAATGAAAATTGAAAACATTTCTTATAGTAAATTCTTTAGTTTTTTTCCGTACATTTCCTACAAAGATAACAAGGCACAAATTCTTGAGAATTTGCTGGGAATTAATGGAAGAAATACGATCTGGCAGTGTCTGCCACGCACGTTCTATATATATATACATATATCGCTAGTAAATCCGGGCTGCCCGATATGATTTACGACCTGACCTGGCACAATAGAATCCCCCACCAAAAAAGGGGGAGGGGGGGGACGGCGAAACTATAAATTCATTAAATCAAATGCCGCGATTATTAATGAATGTAATAATATATCAAAAGAAGACAACGAATCAAACATGATAAATTACCGATTGACAGACGGGGGGGGGGGGGGGGGGGGAGGAGGAGGGGGCGACGGCTACCGATATACGCCGCAGAGAGGGTACAGTGGGCACTCCTCTGAGTGGCAGAGCAAACAACATGTAGGGGGGGAGGGCGGGGGGTATTTGTCGTGACAAGGTGTAAACATTGCTATGCAATTTAGGTTTCAGTTTTTGCCCCATGTATCTGTTAGATACAATAGATAGATAGTGCGATAGCGGAACCCAATATAAATTGTGGCAGGGGGGCCACATCGAGAGGGTAACTCTAACTAATGCCACACTCTCTCTCTCTCTCTCTCTCTACTTCCAGGTGGTGATTTCAGGTGCATTATGTACAGTAGAAGATTACGTAATAATGTCACAGTGTGCACACAACAAAGCCATACACCTAGCTGCGGCAGGAACAGTCTCAGTGACAGACATTTCACAGATACGTAAGTATATAGCAATAAATTTACTACTTAGCCTCCCCCCCACCACCCTTTTGGCTGTATTTTTTGTTTACCGAGACACGTCTCTCGTCTGCAGGAAATGCCCTCACAATTACTTTCTTTACACCAAAATATTTTCACATTTTTGTTATTGTTTCCACACACCCCAGTCCCCCTCCCCCTCCCCCACACACTCTCTTGCCAGCAGCCATGACAAGTGGAATACTTTTTCGGCTGTTGAGCTATTAATAATATCTCCTCGACTGTCACTGGAATGATAATGAAGCAAAGGGTTTAGCCCGGGCATGCCACCCAGTGCCTCCTTCTGATCTTCCCTTAACTTTAAACCTGGAACCCTCTTTTTGTACAAAAAACCTTACCTGCCTTTGCAGCCTAAAATGCGTAATTTATGGCACACAAAAAAAAAAGAGAGAAAAGAAACATGAATTTGCTACGCTTCGGGGCAACTTTCACTCGGCCAGGCTCTGGGCCCAGGACCAGCACGAGCCAGGCAGCCACCCAGCAGGATAAAAGGACGCTGCGGCAGGGGACAAAGGACGAGCCGGGTTCTCGGGGTTCAGCAGAAAATCCTCAACAACAGGTGCAAAAACATAATTCTTTGTTGCGAGTTCCAGCTGGAACTCAAAGCAGCGGAGACACCACTTAAGGCCTAATGTGCGAAAAGTTCTATTGTCGATTTGCACGCCTTATGGGAGAGAGAGACCCTGAGGCGGGGATTATCCTCACCGACAAAACTAAGCTGCGGGTTGCGACTGGACATCACTTGTTTGGGTGGGAATTTCCCAGGGAAATTTATTTATGGCCAGCCCGATCCCGAGTTAGCTGGAAAATAACCAACAAAAAAAGGAGAAGGGCTACCCTTTTGCTAATGAATCTTGACATCTCAATCAAGGGGCGAGGGGGGGGGGGACTTTCACCACCCCAACAGCGGGCATTTTTCCAGTTTTCCACAAACAGAAGCGGGCCTGGCCCACACGTCAATAAATCACTTGATTTAATTTCAGAAGGAGAAAACTGTTGAGGTCGAGGGCGGAGGATTGGGCGGGCTAGGACTCGGGGGCCATAAAACATTTTATGGCTCATCATGTGCGGCAATAAATTTGAGAATGCAATCAGCTGCAGGCTCTACCCCTGTCCCGGCCCCTGCCCCTGCCCCTGCCCTCGCCAGGGCGTTGCCCAATCAACACCTAAACCTAACCCTAAAACCCATGGGATGCGAGGCGGCCATTGCTCATGTAACAAGTAACGAAACCGTTAATTTCTTGATCAAATACAAACGAGGGCTCTCAGAAGCCGCACCGGAGGAGCCGGAGCCGGAGCCGGAGTCGTGTTTGCCTTGTACTTCATTAAAAATGTTTAGCCGTGTGCGGCATCGTAAGGAATGTCTCTATAAACGAGTGCAATCTCTGCCATCGATAAATGCACAGATCACACGTGTGTAATCCTTTTTCCAAGTCCCTCAATGACTCGACCAGCGCCGTGCTGCTTCCCAGACGACGAAGAGGTGCTAATAATGTGGGAAATATTTAGCACCATCATTACAAACATCATTAAAGTATAAATAGATGTGTTTAACACGAGGGAAAGGCAGAAAGGGAGAAACCCCGAAAAATATAATATGGAAAACCGACAGAAAAGTTCGACTTGGAAAGGAAATCAAGCCGTGAAAGAGATTCCAAGAAATAGCACCAGGGTTTGGGATGGGAGTGGGGGGGGAGGGGGTGATCGTCGCGCAGATTCATCAATTAACGCCCCGAAGAGGGCCCCTCTTCAGCTGCAGTCGAAGACGTCAGCAAATAAATGCATTTCCGCTGTCCAGCACAAACAAATTTCCAAGAGACGCCGACAGAGTCAGCAGAAAAACGAGGAAAAATTCCAAAAGAGATTCGATTTGAGTCGATTCTTACCTACCGCGCGACCAGAGCAGGGCAGGGCAGAGGGTAGGGGAGGGGGTTTAGAAAACATGGTCAACAACAAAGCTGAACAAGTGTACCGCTTGCCGATCGTCAGTCGAAACGAGGAACAGGCAGAGACACAGAGAGACAGAGAGAGAGAGAGAGGGAGAGAGAGGGAGATGGGAGACTGAGACTTGGAAAAGTCTCGCCATTGATTTCCACTTAACGCTTCAAAAACTCAAGTGGCCATCATTCGCTGCCAGTCGCTGGCCAAGTTTACAGTTGAGGCCAGCCCCGAAGAAGGGGGAAAAGGTAAAATACGCTTGGCTTTCCAACTCCTCTGAACTCTGTTTCAATATTGTTGTTTCCCACAGTTTCGGGGCCCGCTCGGAAAATATTTAAGCGCCAATTTGATGTAGTTCTCGCTGGCCGTACGGGCCCTGTCGAGTGTCTCATCGAATTTGAATAACAATGCGGCTCGTCTTCAAAGCCCCCCGAGACTTTCTTTCGGCAATGAGCGATGGGAGCAAGGAGCTGCCTGGCTGCCAGCAATTACGCACTTCAACCTACGACCCTTCGCCCCTTCGCCCCTGAAGCCCATAGAAATCAAAAGTTCTTGGAATCTGTTTGCGTGGGAATAAATCTGAGAAGCAGTTGCGTGAATCAATTTGTCACCCTGCCCCCCAGCCCCAGTCCCTGCCCTGTTCTGCTCCTTTTCTTTATCAGTTGAGTCTCTTTGTGGTCATGTTCTAATCAATAAAACCCACCACGGGCGCACAGGGAAGCGGAGTCCAGAGCCCAGCCTCCAGACCCATAACCATAGCACACTCCATGCCGCACACCGTTAAGTTGTGCATTTTACGAGCTCTAGGCCCAGAAACCCATTAAACAAATGCCACGGATAAAACGAAACGCCGCCGATCGAGCGATGATCGGGTGATCGCTGATCGGTGATCGCTGATCGGTGATCGCTGATCGGTGATCACTGGGGCAATAAATTCATCAAACAAATATCGCTATCCGACTGTGATCTTGCCTTATAATCGACATGAATATTAAAAACCACAAAACTATAATCAGTGGCCCCCGAAACACACATATCAATCCGCTCCCGCTCCCCCTCTCTCTCTCCTCGACTGTGGCCCTTTTTCGGGTTCCAGCCATTAACTGGCGGCTGCTGCAGACGGCCTAATGGACCTGATCTTTCGTCACTCCCAAAAAAAAAAAAACCTTTTTTTTGTCCCCCCTCCGCTCGGCTAAGCCGCGGCGATCGATCGTCAGATGCTGATCCCTAAATACCCCTTAAATTGAACTTAATTCCTCTGCGAAGAACCCTTCGAGGCCACGGCCATTGAGTGGCGCGATAGGCTGTCCCTAGATAGGACTGCAGAAGGGTGGAGTAGAAGGTCCTGAAACAAAGCGGAGTACAGAAATTCTCCCAGTTTAAGAGCGCCATCAGATCCATAAATCTATTGTCGTGGAATGTGCTGTTTTCCCCGAATTTCCCCGAGTCTATTTCCAGCATTTTCCTCTCAAATTCTGAGTAGGAAATGCCGCAATCTCTGGCGACTTTTGGCTGCCTGTCATTCCATTGCGGCAGAACGGAAATGCATTCATTTGTCGTGCCGCACAAATAAATCAATTGATTTGCCAGCCCAGCTCCCTCTCCCTTCTGACGCCACTTTCCAATTACGTAAACTCCCAGAGAGGGGGCGGGGGGGGGGGGACAGAGGGGCACCATCGCGTGCAGCTATGCAAATGTCGGACGGGTCCTGCAGTCTGTGTATATCGCATCGACTCGTCTTACTACCGTTTAATGAGCTTATGATGAGGCGACGGCCCTGCCTCATGCCCCTGCCCCTGCCCCATGCCCCCCTCGCATGACTCAAGCGGCAATTTCTACCCACCCCCCCGCCTTTTGGCATTTCGGGGCATGCAAATGGAGCTTTTAATCATAAAATACCTGTGTATTTTGGGCAGTTGTTAATGGCAGGAGGCGGTTCGGGGTTGCCTTGCGTGTCTCCGGCTTGTTCCAAGAGCGGCACGCAATCCCCAGGCCCCAGGCCCCAGCCCCCAGCCCCCTGCCCCCGTCTGGGGCATCCAAGTATCTGTTAGATGACAATGCGTGCCTGCCGACACCTTGCCAGCGACTCGTACATTTGTAGTGCTGGTAATTGCGGAGGGTAATGGGTGGATGGGTGGACGGGGAGTGTGCATTCAATTGGCACTTCATTTGTGGTCTAACATAGCCATGAACATAGCCTGCCCCTACCTGATAGAGGGACGCTTCTTAGCGGCTTATTAAAGGGCTGCCACAGCCGCCGCCCCAAAGATCTTTTTGGCCACATAAAACATAATGAAGACCTCCAAAAAAGGTCTTAGGACATTGACTTTCAGGCGCGGAAGATTAGGGCAAATTATGAAAGCCAAAAGGAGGCAGGAATGAAGCCAAAACAGCAGAGAAGCAGATGGAAACAAATCAGGTTTATTTTCCACAGAATCGAACTGAAATTTGCTCAAAAGTAGAAGATCTAAGTGGTGCCCCGGTCTGTGGGCCCTGTTTTATGAGCACTTTACACCTGAAGCCTTAATTAAGGCGGAAGCAGGGACGACCAGCAATGTCACTCAATGTCAGAGAGAGAGAGAGGGAGACAGGGCCAAGATGGATGGCCAAGAGCAGGACCAGCGAGGGCCCCGGGCAGGCCAGGGCAGGGCAGGGCAGGGCAGGGCAGGGGCACTGGAAAACAAACAAACAAATGCTAAAGGCGAAATAATGACGCGCGAAAAAACAATAAAACAAAAGGAACAAAACAGAAATGACAGACAATAAAAGTAGGGAACGGAGTCCAGCCGGCACTTGGCACCTACGAAAGATCCTGGTGGCCACACACACACGCACGCACACAGTCGTAGGCCAAGCGGACAAGGACATGACGTTTTTATTATGCTCTCCATGTCTGACTTTTGCTCTGGGCCAAAAAACAGACGGCGCCCTGCATAGATCATAGGAAGGTCCTAAACTTTTGTTTTACGGCCCACGAGCCGAAGGGGCGAGCGTAAATCAAGAGCTGCCCCCTCGGGCAGGAA